GAACAATTGAGTTAGTTTCCGTTGCTGATGTTGTTGTTGATGCTGCCGTTGCTATTACCGCCGCCAAGATCGCCCAACTTCGAACCAAGGATGCCTCCTCCTCCTCCTCCTCCTACATTGCCGCCTTTCCTCAGCTGCGTGAAGATCTCGCTGTACTGGTGAATGGCGTCGACGGGGTAGAAGAGCTCATTCATGCGCGCCATCAGGTGCGTCTGCGGCTGGTGAATGGAGGCGCCCACGAAGGTCTGCCCCAGCTCCTTGATCAGGTCCCAGCACTGGCCGGGCACGCAGCAGGGGCCGTACTCGATCTCGGCGACGATCGCCTTGAAGGTCTGGTTGCCGCCCATGGTGCAGGTGCCCAGCTTGATGACGAAGTCCGCCAGCGTCCACCGCTGGCCGCGCACCTCCATGCGGACGTGCACCTTCTTCGAGTAGAAGAGGGCGAGGTTGGTGAGGATCTGCTCGAAGGAGGAGTCGGTGACCACGGTGCAGGAGTTGGCCAGGGAGGAGGAGGAGGATGTGGAAGTGGTGGAAGTTGTGGAGGAGTTGTTGGAGGCGGATGAGGCNCCACGGTGCAGGAGTTGGCCAGGGAGGAGGAGGAGGATGTGGAAGTGGTGGAAGTTGTGGAGGAGTTGTTGGAGGCGGATGAGGCGTTGGCAGCGCTGCCCGACGAGCCGGTGCTCTTCTCGATGATGGAGAAGGCGCTGGCCGGGTACTCCGAGGCGGTGATCAGACTGAGCACCCGCGTCTCGTTGGCCGTCGTGATGGCCGGATTGGAGTGGTAGCTCTCGCACTCCACCGAGAAGGTGCCGGTCTTCTTCGCGCCCAGCGCCTCCAGCTGTCGCGTGTACAGCTCCACCATCTGCGGCCCGCTCAGGCCGTCGTTGATCGGCAGCGTGTGCACCGAGCTGACGACCATGTTTTGGGTGTTTTCCTTGATAAGCCGATAAGCTGGAGCTGTCAGATTTTGTTCGAGATGATCATCTGAAAAAAAGAAAACAAGAAAAACAACTTCGCCTGCCGATTTCCACCGCTGGTGCTGTGCAGACAGAGCACCGGTGGAAATAGACAAAACGCGCGCGCTGCGTTGGCCGCGCGGCGCGCTTCTCTGCCCGCAACTTTTGCAACCGACTTTTGTTTTGGATTTCTCGCTCTTTCTCGCCACTGTGTTTTGCTTTTACGCGGTGAAGAGACGATCATCATCACCATCACCACCACCACCACGACATTCAACAGATGTGATGTCGTCATCGCCGGTGCCCACTCCCCGGTACTCCCTCTTTGAGGATGAGGAGGAGGAAGAGGAAGGGGACCGAGTCCTCCTTGACTCGAGCCTGGAGGAGGCGGCCGGCCCTCGAGAGCCCGCTCGAGACTGCCGGGAGCTCTTTGACGAGGTCTGTCAGCCAGGTGACCAGGACGAGGACGGTGAGCCGGTGCTGCAGGTGAAGAAGCCCGTGAAGACGTACCAGGCGCCGAAGAGGAAGGGCCTGTTGAATCTCAGAGAACGAGAACATCATCATTTGCTTGCAGATGATTACGACGAGGACGAAGAGGATGTCAATGAGGACGACGACGACGATGATCTCCGACAGAGTGAAGACGAACCACACCACCACCACGACGGCGATGATGATGATGACATTGCCGATGATAACTCTGATTGTGATACCACTGTGAAGAGGCGACAGCCGAAGAGGACTGCTAAAAAGAACTCAATTGCAGCCAGCAAAGCAAAGCAGCAGACCAAACCGAGCAACAAACAGGCCAAGGCAACGGCAGCAACCAAAAGCAGCAAACCAGTGGCCACCAAGGCGGCGACGAAGACCAAGGCAACAAAGCGAACAAAGAGAAAGCCCAAAGAAAAGCTGTCGCTAGTGGACGCTGTCCACAAGGCCTACCTCGATGCGATTGCCAGCGGACAGCTGCCCGACTTTTCCACATTCGACAACGAGGAGCTGTGCATCGTCTACGAGTCACCATCGCCGCCGCCTTCAAAGTCCAAAGTCAAAAGAAAGAACAATAGAAAGCCGGCCGCTGCCGCCGCCTCCACATCATCGACGTATGAGGAGGATGCGGCGATGGCGGCGGGCCCTTCCACTTCCTCCTCTGCTCAGCCACCGCCACCGTCAAAGCCGGCGCCGCCTACGAGGAAGAGGACTGGTGATACCAACAACAACAACAACAATAAGAATAAGAACACGAACAAGAGGAATCTCCGATCTGCCTCAGCAGAGTCCATCTCATCGGCGTCAGAGTCCTCGGGGCCATCTCACTCGAGCTCTCTGTCTTCCCCGGGCCCGTCCACATCACCCTCGACATCCTCGCCCTCTACATCATCCTCGCCGCCATTCTCAAAGACGGCAAAGAGTGCCCGGCTGCAGAACGTCCACTCGACGCCCATCGTCTCCGCCAACGTCTCCTCTGCTGAGTCGTGGACACTGACGCCGCAACGAGCAGGGAAAGCTTTGGCTCCCTCATCATCGAGTTCATCATCTTTCCACTCGCCACCTACTCCTTCCCCTCCCCCAGCTCCTCCTTCGAGGACATCAAAGAGGGTGGTGAATAATAATAAAGTGGTTAGGCGGCCGACAAGGCCGCCGGTGGAGTCGGATTCCTCACTTCCCTCCTCTACCTCCGCCACGACCAACACGGCCACCACAACCTCTTCCTCTTCCACTTCTTCGTCATCCTCTCCTCAACTTTTACCACCACCACCGCCAACAACAACGGCAGCAAAGACGCCGGCGAGAAGCACTCGCCAGCACCCGTTGCGATCCATTGGCAATCTGCAGCAGTCATCCCAATCCCGGCCGCAACCACGCCCACCGTCGGCAGTCGTGGACCAGTGGAACTTCAGCCGAACAAGCATCACCGCCACCAGTACTCCCCTGTCCGATATCACAAATAACGGAGGTGGAGGTCTTCGCCGCGGTGGCCGCCGTATTCACTACTAAATCATCATCATTTTTTTATTTTACTGAAAAGCTTATTTTATCTCTTGTAATTATTTTATTCCTTTATCACCCACCATCTTTTAAACCAACAACACTACCCACAAACAAAGAAAATAATTTCGATCTTACCACAGAACAAACAAAAAAATAAAGTTGAAGTTTTTACTTTTTTTCGTACCACACCGGAGTACGTCTTCTGCGGAGGGCTATCACGCTCTCTCGCGGCGGCCGCTGCTGCTGCAGCGTTTGCCTCTCGTTATTGTTTTCGGCAGTCGTCGGCGAAGGTGTCTGACTGACTGGCTGCTAATCAGTTTTCAGTTTTCTATTATTTTGCATCACATCTTTCGAATTGATATCTCCATCATCATCATCCGCTTCAATCCGACAATTGACATCCACCGGCAAACACTGCCACCACCAGAATGTTCGAAGAGGACGACCAGCTGGACGATGAGGAGACGCTGGAGATCACCTCTGAGCTGTGGCAGGAGGCCTGCTGGATCGTCATCAGCTCGTACTTTGACGAGAAGGGCCTCGTCCGCCAGCAGCTGGACTCCTTCGATGAGTTCATTCAGATGTCAGTGCAGCGCATCGTCGAGGACTCCTCTGCCATTGAGATAGAGGTAGGTGTCGTCGTTGTCATTGTCAGTGATGCATGGCAGCCATTTTCTAATCTGTTTTTCGTAACTTTTCTCCAACTTTTGGTCCGCTAGGCCGAGCCGCAGCACAAGTCGGGCATCATCGAGGCGCCCACGCAGTACGTGATTCGCTTCGAGCAGATCTACCTCTCGAAGCCAACTCACTGGGAGAAGGACGGCACGCCGACGGCGATGATGCCCAACGAGGCCCGCCTCCGCAACCTCACCTACTCGGCGCCGCTGTACGTGGACATCACCAAGACGATCACCCGCGACGGGCAGGACCCGGTGGAGACGCAGCACCAGAAGACGTACATCGGCAAGATTCCCATCATGCTGCGCTCCAGCTACTGCCTCCTCAACGGCCTCACCGACCGCGATCTGGCGGAGCTCAACGAGTGCCCCCTCGACCCCGGCGGCTACTTCATCATCAACGGCTCGGAGAAGGTGCTCATCGCCCAGGAGAAGATGGCCACCAACACGGTGTACGTCTTCTCGATGAAGGACTCGAAGTACACCTACAAGGCGGAGTGCCGCTCCTGCATTGAGCACTCCTCGCGGCCGACCAGCACACTGTGGGTGAACATGCTGGCGCGGGGCTCGCAGGGGAAGAAGACCACCGTCGGCCAGCGCATCATTGCCATCATTCCCTACATCAAACAGGAGATCCCCATCATGATCGTCTTTCGGGCGCTGGGCTTCGTCGCCGACCGCGACATTCTCGAGCACATCATCTACGACTTTGAGGACCCGGAGATGATGGAGATGGTGAAGCCGTCCCTGGACGAGGCTTTCGTCATTCAGGAGCAGAAGGTGGCGCAGAACTTTATCGGCACGCGCGGCGCCCGGCCCGGCGTCCCCTACGAGAAGCGCATCAAGTACGCGAAGGAGATCCTCCAGAAGGAAATGCTGCCGCACGTCGGCGTGGGCGACTTCTGCGAGACGAAGAAGGCCTACTACCTCGGCTACATGGTCCACCGGCTGCTGCTGGCGGCCCTCGGTCGGCGCGAGCTGGACGACCGCGATCACTACGGCAACAAACGGCTCGACCTGGCCGGCCCCCTCCTTGCCTACCTCTTTCGCGGCCTCTTTCGCAACCTAACCAAAGAGGTGCGCATGTACGCGCAGAAGTTCATCGACCGCGGCAAGGACTTTCAGCTGGAGCTGGCCATCAAGACGCGCATCATCTCCGACGGCCTGCGCTACTCGCTGGCCACCGGCAACTGGGGCGACCAGAAGAAGGCCCACCAGGCGCGGGCGGGCGTCTCGCAGGTGCTGAACCGGCTCACCTACGCCTCGACGCTCTCCCACCTGCGGCGCGTCAACTCGCCCATTGGCCGAGATGGAAAGCTGGCCAAGCCTCGCCAGCTGCACAACACCCTCTGGGGGATGATCTGCCCGGCGGAGACGCCGGAGGGCCACGCGGTCGGCCTGGTGAAGAACCTCGCCCTCATGTCGTACATTAGCGTCGGCTCGCAGCCGTCGCCCATTCTCGAGTTTCTCGAGGAGTGGTCCATGGAGAACCTCGAGGAGATTGCCCCCTCTGCGATCTCCGAGGCCACGAAGATCTTCGTCAACGGCTGCTGGGTGGGCATTCACCGCGAGCCGGACCTGCTGATGACCACCCTGCGGAAGCTCCGCCGCCAGATGGACATTATCGTCTCGGAGGTGTCGATGGTGCGGGACATTCGCGACCGCGAGATTCGCATCTACACGGACGCGGGCCGCATCTGCCGCCCCCTTCTCATCGTCGAGAATCAGAAGCTGCTGCTGAAGAAGAAGCACATTGAGCAGCTGAAGAGCCGCGAGTACAACAGCTACAGCTGGCACGACCTGGTGGCCAGCGGGGTGGTCGAGTACATTGACACGCTGGAGGAGGAGACGGTGATGATCTCGATGACGCCGGACGACCTGATGGAGACGGTCAATCCGTACTGCAGCACCTACACCCACTGCGAGATTCACCCATCGATGATTCTGGGCGTCTGCGCCTCGATCATCCCCTTCCCCGACCACAACCAGTCGCCGCGTAACACCTACCAGTCGGCCATGGGCAAGCAGGCGATGGGCGTGTACATTACCAACTTTCACGTGCGGATGGACACGCTGGCGCACGTCCTCTACTACCCGCAGAAGCCGCTCGTCACCACGCGGTCGATGGAGTACCTGCGCTTCCGAGAGCTGCCCGCGGGCATCAACTCCATCGTGGCGATCATGAGCTACACGGGCTACAACCAGGAGGACTCGGTCATTCTCAATGCGTCCGCCATTGACCGCGGCTTCTTCCGCTCCATCTTCTACCGCTCCTACAAGGACTCGGAGCAGAAGCGCATGGGCGACCAGGAGGACCAGTTTGAGAAGCCGACGCGGGACACGTGCCAGGGCATGCGTAACGCCATCTACGACAAGCTGGAGGACGACGGGATCATCGCGCCGGGGACGCGCGTTTCCGGGGATGATGTCATAATCGGGAAGACGACGACGCTGCCGGAGAATGACGACGACCTGGAGGGAGGGATTAAGCAGCACACCAAGCGAGATGCCAGTACCTTTCTGCGAAACAGCGAGACGGGCATTGTCGACCAGGTGATGATCACGGTGAACAATGAGGGCTACAAGTTCTGCAAGATTCGCGTCCGCTCGGTGCGCATTCCGCAGATTGGCGACAAGTTTGCCTCGCGGCACGGACAGAAGGGCACCTGCGGTATTACCTACAGGTAGGGGTGGAGTTTTTGTTGTTGTTAGGTTTGTTCTTTAATTTAATGCTCTTCTTTTTCTGTAGACAAGAGGACATGCCCTTCACCTGTGAGGGCATCACCCCGGACATTATCATCAACCCGCACGCCATTCCCTCGCGTATGACGGTCGGCCATCTGATTGAGTGCCTGCAGGGAAAGGTGTCGGCGAACAAGGGCGAGATTGGCGACGCGACGCCCTTCAACGATGCCGTCAACGTGCAGAAGATTTCCGATCTGTTGCATGTAAGTGCCTTCTGTGAGCGAGTTTGTTTCGATTTCTAAATCTTTCATCCTTGTTCCACAGGAGTACAACTACCAGCTGCGCGGCTACGAGGTGATGTACAACGCCCACACCGGCCACAAGGTCAATGCGCAGATCTTCCTCGGGCCCACGTACTACCAACGGCTGAAGCACATGGTCGACGACAAGATTCACTCTCGTGCACGAGGGCCGGTGCAGATTCTGGTGCGCCAGCCGATGGAGGGCCGAGCCCGCGATGGCGGCCTTCGCTTTGGCGAGATGGAGCGCGACTGTCAGATTGCCCACGGCGCGGCGCAGTTCCTCCGTGAGCGCCTCTTTGAGGTGTCCGACCCTTACCGCGTGCACATCTGCAACCTCTGCGGCCTGATCTGCATCGCCAACCTGCGGAACAACACCTTCGAGTGCAAGGGCTGCCGAAATAAGACGCAGATCTCGCAGGTGCGCATGCCGTACGCCGCCAAGCTGCTCTTCCAGGAGCTGATGTCCATGTCCATTGCGCCGCGCATTGTCGTCACCTAGGCCGCTGCTGCTGCTGACTGGGCACTATTATTTCTGTCCTCCTGTTGGACATTATCACACACAGCCACACACTACCACAAACTCTTTTGCTCTGTCCTTTTCCCTCCCTTATCTCTCATCATCACTTTTCATCACTCGCTAAAGCTTCGTGGAAACGTAAATAAACACACACTGCTAGACTGGAAACAGCTAAACTCTGCGATAGGTGGCGGCACTGTCGGCCGCTCAGGGCGCCGTTTGGCTGACGTGTTAGTCTCCGTCGAGCTCGGTGGCCGGCAAAGGCAAAGGAAAGCTGAGGCAGAGTGAGTTTGCTGGCTGACAACACGGCAAAGACAGAGACCAATTTAGTTGTCTGTTTCGGGTCTCTGCGCCGTTTACTCACTGTTTCTGCTCACTTCTGATCACCAGTGTTTACCACCGCCACCACCTCATCTTCTTCTCCATCAACAACATCTCGATCTGAGCACCACCAGCCACCACCACCATGGCCACCCTGCAAGAGTTCATCGAGAACACCGAGGACGTGGACGGCATTCGCTTCAACTGGAACGTCTGGCCGGCGACCCGCGTGGAGGCGGCCAAGGTGGTCCTCCCGCTGGCCTGTCTCTTCTCGCCCCTGCGAGAGTCGCAGACGCGCCCGGTGCCCACGGTGGAGTATGAGCCGGTGGTCTGCGCCCGCCAGAATTGCCGCTCCATTCTCAATCCGTACTGTCAGGTAGCGTTCGTACCCAAAGGTTTCCTGTTTCTATTTCTAAATCTCTTACCATTTCCATTTCCTCTAGGCCGACTACCGCGCCCGCATGTGGGTCTGTCCCTTCTGCATGAACCGCAACGCCTTCCCCGCCAACTACGCCAACATCAGCGAGGCCGCCCGCCCCTATGAGCTGCAGTACACGACGCTGGACTACAAGATCACCCGGGCGCCGATCAACACGCCGCCCATCTTCCTCTACGTCATCGACACGTGCATGGACGAGGAGGAGCTGAACTCGCTGAAGACGGCCATCCTCGGCTCGCTGAAGCTGCTGCCGCCGAACGCCCTCGTCGGCCTGATCACCTTCGGGCGCATCGTCAGCCTCTGGGAGATCAACGCCAACCTGCGCTCCTTCGTCTTCAAGGGCAGCAAGGACTACACGCCGAAGCAGCTGCAGGAGTGGCTGGGCATTCGAAATGCCGTCCAGCTGCAGGCGGCCGGGCCGGGCATGGCACCGATGGCACCGATGGGGCCGCCCGGGGCGGGGCCGGGCATGCAGCACCCGGGGGCGGCGGCCGCTGCCCACGCCGCTCAGATGGGCGGCGGCGTCGGGAAGCACAACAGCGCCGGCAAGTTTCTGCAGCCGATCGCGCAGGCGGACGCCGTCCTGCACGACCTGATTGGCCAGCTGCGCCGCGACAGCTGGCGCACGGCGCAGGCGAAGCGCCCGCTGCGGGCCACCGGCGCCGCCCTCTCCATCGCCGTCAGCCTCCTGGAGACGGTGTATCCGAACTGCGGCGCGCGCATCATGCTCTTCATCGGCGGCCCCTGCACCACCGGCCCGGGGATGATCGTCGACGACGAGCTGAAGAACACCATTCGCTCCCATCACGACATCGAGAAGGATAACGCCAAGTACATGAAGAAGGCGATGAAGCACTACCAGGCGCTGGCGCAGCGCAGCGCCGTCAACGGCCACACCATCGACATTCTCGCCTGCGCCCTCGACCAGACCGGCCTCCACGAGATGAAGTACTGCGTGAACAGCACCGGCGGCCTGATGATCATGGGCGACTCCTTCGACTCGAGCCTCTTCCAGACTAGCTTCACGCGCATCTTCGCCAAGGACGCCGAGCACAACCAACAGCTGAAGATGGCCTTCAACGCCGTGCTGGAGATCAAGACCAGCCGCGAGCTGAAGGTCGCCGGCTGCATTGGCAGCTGCGTCAGCATGAACGTGCGCAACCAGTACGTCAGCGACACGGAGATCGGCATCGGCAATACGGCGCAGTGGAAGTTCTGCTCGCTGAACAGCGGCCTCGCCACCAGCTTCTACTTTGACGTGGTGCAGACGCAGGCGCAGCAGCAGGGCCAGCGAGGCTATATTCAATTTGTGACGCAGTACCAGCACGTGGACGGGTACCGCCACGTCCGGGTGACCACCGTCGGCCGCAACTTCACCACCACCGACTTTGCCTTTGACCAGGAGAGCGCCTGCGTCCTGGTCGCCCGGCTGGCCTGCCACCGCGCCCAGACGGAATCGAACGGGCCGGACGTCCTCCGCTGGCTCGACCGCAACCTCATTCGCATGTGCCAGCGCTTTGGCGACTTTCGCAAGGACAGCCCGGAGAGCTTCCAGCTCTCCCCGCTCTACAGCATGTTCCCGCAGTTCATCTTCCACCTGCGTCGGTCGCAGTTCATCCAGGTCTTCAACAACTCCCCGGATGAGACCAGCTTCTACCGGCACTCGCTCTTTCGCGAGGACTGCTACAACTCGCTGGTGATGATCCAGCCGACGCTGCTCGCCTACTCCTTCAACGAGCCGACGCAGCCGGTCCTCCTCGACACCAGCTCCATCCACCCGGAGCGCATCCTCCTCATGGACACCTTCTTCCACATTGTCATCTTCAGCGGCGAGACGATCGCCGCCTGGCGCAAGGCCAACTACCAGGCCCAGCCGGAGTACGAGGCTTTTGCGCAGCTGCTCGAGGCGCCGGTGAAGGACGCCGCCGAGCTGATGGTCAGCCGCTTTCCCCTCCCCCGGTACATTGTCTGCGACCAGGGCAGCTCCCAGGCCCGCTTCCTCCTCTCCAAAGTGAACCCCTCCACGACGCACAACTCGGCGGCGGCGATGGGCGGCGGTTACTACGGCGGGGCGGGAGGTGCTGGAGGTGATGCGGCGGGGGCGGTGCTCACCGACGACGTCTCGCTGCAGGTCTTTATGGAGCACCTGAAGAAGCTGGCGGTCTCCTCGTCGGCGGCCACCTGAGCTGCTTAGCTAGCTTAGGCTGTGAAGAAGGCTTCCAACACCAAATTTTGCACCACTTTACACTCTCTCTCTCTATTTACTACTGTTCACGATTACTGATGCGAGGATGAAGATGAGGAGGATGAAGAAGATTGAATTTAGGTTTTGTATTTATTGCTATCTGTCTGTTTTTCTGCTGTTGAAAAAAAAAGTTGAAAGCGTTTTATGATGATACCAAGGAATGATGATAAATTAAAGTAATGTTCTGTTCTGAGGAGCACATGTTTTTGAGCCGAGATTAGATCATCGGGCAAATCTGGCCAGTGCGAGTCATCCGCCTGAGGGCAGCACTCGTCGCAAGTTTTTCGCCGACCAGTCACCGCCGTCGCCGGCCAGCCTAAACACATCAGCCTGACATCAACATTGGCAATCACTGGCCATAATTATCATCACTGCCGCCGCCGTCATTCCTTCAGCCATCTTTATCTGTTGACCGGAAGACCTGCACCTTGTGATGGCAGCCACCCGAGCGAAGCTGCTCCTCATCGTCGGCCTGGGCGTGGTGCTGAGGCTGTCGCTGCGCTTCAGCTCCTACTACGGCGAGATTTCCAACCGCGTGGAGATCTCCTCGCCGGTCAATGCATGGGAACGAGGTGAGTGGAGTGATTTCGCAATTGAAATACAATCTAATTTCTCATCCCTTACCAGTGGTTGAAGCGGTGACGCTGCTCCGCTGGAAGGTCTCTCCCTACAGCGGCGACACCTTCCACGAGTCGCCGCTCTTTCTCGCCTTCTACCGCCTGCTGATCGGCTCGCTGAGCGACCTCCAGATCGCCCTCTTCTTCATCGCCGTCGACGTGCTGACGGCCTTCGTCCTCGCCAAGGTCTGCTCCACACAGCTGAACTGCACCGTCGCCGTGGAGCGGGGCATCGAGGAGGAGGAAGAGTTGAAGAAGAAGAACAAGAAGACAAAAACGAAGACGAAAAAGGAGAAAGATGGTGGTGATGATAAGGAGAAGGATGAGGAGGAAGATGAAGAGGAGGATGATGAGGCCACCCTGATCAACCTGAAAGACCCCCTCTTCTCCGGCCTGTTCATCCAGCCGGAGACCGTCTCCACTTCGGCCTTCTGGTCGGCGGCCATCTACCTCCTGGCGCCCTACTCCATTCTCGCCTGTGTCGCCCAGGCCACCACCGTTCTCGGCAACTTCCTCATCGGCCTGACGCTGCTCGCCGCCACCAGTGGCCACCGAGCCGCCTCTCTTCTCCTCCTCGCCCTGCTCACCCTCAACGCCTTCTACCCGCTCATCCTTCTGTCGCCGGTGGTGCTGATGCTCGAACAGCGGTGGCACCTCGATCAGCAGCAACGACAGCAGGAAAAAAAGAAGTCTCCCAAGAAGAGCAAAGAATCCTCCTTCAGCTCGGCCAATCCAATGCACATTGAGCTCAGTTCTTCGGCCACCCGCCTTTCCATTGCCGGCTCAGTGCTGCTCTTTGCCCTCTTCTACGGCCTGCTGATGGCCGCCTCGTACTGGCTCGAGGGCGGGTCGTTTCAGTTTCTTCAGTCGAACTACGTCTTTATGTGAGTGTTTAGGGAGAGTTTCTGTTATTGAAACAAAATATAAAACTAATGAACGATCTTTGCAGGTGGAGCGTCGGCGACCTGACGCCCAACATTGGCCTCTTCTGGTACTTCTTCACCGAGATGTTCGACCACTTTCGGGACTTTTTCCTCTGCGTCTTTCAGATCAACTACTTCATCTACATCATTCCACTGACGTTCAACTTTTGGTAAGGAGTAGGAGGAAGGGAAACTGAGAAAGATGTAAACAAAACGACAATAACACCCCTTTCACCCCTTCTCAGGCGCAACCCTTACCTCATCTCCATGATCTCCTTGATCATCCACTCGCTCTTCAAGCCGTATCCCACCGTCTCGGACTTTGCCCTCTACCTGGCGCTGCTTCCCATGTGGAGTCACATCTTTGAGAGTAAGATCGCTTTACTTTAGTAATTTCGAAATTCCCTTTCAACTTTGCTCCCAAACAACCAAACACAGGCATGAAGAGCACGCTAGTCATCTCGGCGACCATCGTCACCACCTCCGTCCTGGCGCCCATCCTCTGGTACCTGTGGATCGTCCTGGGCACTGCCAATGCCAACTTCTACTTTGGCATTACCATTGGCTACAACGTCGCACAGGTAAAACAACTTAACATCTTAGTTGATGGAATAAAATGTAAAAGCCTTTATTGATCGAAACACACAAAAAATCTCCCCCAGATATTCCTCACCACCGATCTGATGTTCGCCTACGTCAAGCGGGAGTTTCACCTGCGGAACCTCCTCCTCTACAAGCTGTGCAAGCAGACGGGCAAGGTGCCCAAAATTGAGCTTAGCTTCTAAACACGCGGAACACATTCGAACAAGATTTCACAACTTCACATCACCCTTGACATTCTACGGTAAGAAAAAAAATAAATTGATGATCATCACCCTCACCTCATCACCACCAGCAAACTACTACGTAAAGAGCCTGACGGTGTTGGTGGAGCAGGCAAAGAGCCACGGTTGCACCGAGTGAAAGGCACAGTGCAGCATCGGCGAGTTGTCCTTCGGCGCCTTCAGCACCTTCACCGGCACGATGAGCGCATTCTGCAGCAGGTCATCGTAGACCATGCCGTGGCAGACGACCACGGTGCCGTCGTCGGAGGCGGAGGCAAAGAGCGGATAGCGGCCGCCAGGGTGGAACTGTACGGCGCGGACGGCGCCCTTGCGGTGGTAGCGCAGCGTCTTGTACGCCTTCACCGAGAGGTCCATGTCGAACCACTGGACCTTGGGGTCGACGCCGCCGATCAGGACGTTGTCGCCTAGGAAAAGAGGGAGAGAATTAGAACCGGTGCTTTGGTTTTGATTGCCAATGTCAATGTTTACCTCCAGGATGGACGGCCATGCAGTTCACCTCACATGTGTTCACCGTCAGCTTCTTGGTCAGCTCCTGCTTGATCAGGTCGTAGACGCGGACGGACTTTTTGGTGGCCACGAAGAAGTAGGCCCGCGTCGGGTGGAACTGCACGCACTTGATGATGTCCTTTGACTTTTTGAATGGCACCTGAGGAGGATGGGTGGGTGGAAATGGACGGTGAGTTTTAGAACACAACACACAACAAAACTTCAACCGCTTGTTTACCTGTGACTTTCGCTTGGAGAGGTGGTGAATGACGACCGATTTATTCGCTCCGGCGGGCATCACCGTGGCAAAGTACTCGCCGGCGGTGTGCCACGTCAGCTGGCTAATCTCGAAGCGGTGCTTCAGCAGCAGGCGGACGCCCTGCGACCAGAGCTCGGACTGGGCGACCGGGTCGACGTTCGCCCACTCCACCGACAGCTCCTCCTCCTTGGGTTTCTCACCATCACCTTCCTCTTTTTCCTCTTCCTCCTCCTTAGCATACTTGGCAAAGTACTCATCGGTGGCGGTGACCGTCGCCCGGTGGCCCAGGCCGACGTTGATCAGATAGACCGTCCGGTCGACGGTGGCGGTGACGATGCTGCGTGAGCCGTTCGGATACCAGCTGACGCCGGTCACCGGGCCGGGCAGGCCGCTGATGGTCTTGAAGCAGCGCCCGGTGAGCACCTCAAAGACCTTCACGCAGCCGGCGTCGTCGCCGGAAACGATGAACTGCCCGGCCGGACCGGGCTCGACGGCGCTGGAGAGCACCCGGCCCTGGTGGCCGCTGTAGACGAGCGACTGCACCGCGGGGAAGGGCTGCAGGTCGGCCGGTTTGGGCAGCTGCGGAATGAGGTCCTCGGGGTCGATGTGGACGCGGTTCTTGCGCGCCCGCGGACAGAGGTACAGGTCGAGGCAGCGCTCAAAGCGCTCCTTCACAAAGGCCGGGTAGGCGGGCACCGACCGCAGGCGGGAGAACTTCTGCGGAATAAAGGAGCCCGGTCGAGGGCGGTCCTCCTCCTCCTCCTCCTGCTGCGCCTCCTCGTAGGCCTTGCGCTCCTCCTCGGTGAAGAGGTACTCCGGCGGCGGGTTGTACGACTCCTCGTGGCCAGGTGGGCGGGCCTTTGGCGCGGCAATGTACCGGTCGTGCCGCTTGGTGGTGGCCTTCGATTTCGAGCTGTCCGCCTCGTGCTCCCAGAGGTCGTAGGAGAAGGCAAACTGCGAGTCCTTCTTCGGTTTCGGCTTCGGCTTCAGGCGGGCTCGCTTGATGGCCGTCACCAGGCGACTGACCAGCCGCTTCTCCGACACCGAGGGGATGAAGCTGGCCTTCGTTTCCGGCCGGTTGTGCGCCGGGTGAATGGACTTTTCGTAGGTGAAGAAGTCGATGAAGGGCGCGTATGGGTCGTAGCTCGGGTCGGGACACTTGCCGGCTTTGAGGCGCTGCAGCAGGTCGACGTCCGTGTCGGAGAGGACCACCTTCTGGCCGGTGAGGTTGTCCTTGACGGTTCGCCAGTAGGTGGGATCGTCCATCTTGCGAAGGAACTCGTCGATCTCGTCCTCGCTGGGCGGCTTGATGATCTTCCGCCCGTCGCGGTCGTAGCCGATGTGCACGTAGTCCTTGTACCACTCGTAGGGAATGTTGCCGATAGTGTTCAGGACGTCCTGAATGTTTAGAAAAGGAGTGTTAGAATGTTAATGTTGAATGATGAGCAAAATGTGTGTTCTGTCTGTTACCTCTTCATCCGACGAGTCGTGCTCGTACTCGTCCACACTGGCCACATTGCCGCCCGAGTGAAAGGGCTTCGTGTCGTGGGAGATGCTCTGCACTGTGCGGGCGTTGAAGGCTTTGGCCGCGTCCTCGGCCCCAGTGTTATCATTGTCATGGAGGACCTTGGTGAAGAGATCTTCTCCTTCAGCATCATCTGCCACCTCCTCTCCAAGTGCCTCATCGTCGCTGATCTCCTGAAGGTTGATCTGCGGAATGGAAACGTTAGAATCGGAGCTCAAATAAACCTCAAATACTTACATCATCGCCAATCTCGCTCAAGTCCGCCTCGCTGTCCGACTGAGGCTCATAGTCGCTGTCCTCTTCATCTCCCTCATCGCCCTCATCGTCTTCCTCCTCGTCGTCGTCATCCTCTTCGTCCTCGTACTCCTCGTACTCAAACTCTGATTCACCTGACGAAGAGACTTCCTCCTCTTGAACATTCTTCTGCGGTGGTCCCTTTCGCTTGACGCCCCGTTTCGGTCCTGGTGCTCTAGAGGCCATTGTCGTTGGCGGTGGCGGTTTTTAGAACTTTGTTGTCGGCCGAAGCACGTGTGCCGCAGCAGCAGCTGTGGTGATCGCCTGAGTCGACCGCAGTGGTTTGCACTCTTTCCTCGGTGCACTATTTTCATCCTCGGCTGTGTTTCACTCAATCAGAAACAGCAGCAGAAAGAGAATCCTAAATCTTTTTGTGTTTCCTATTTGTCCTCCTCCCCAAAACAGTGACCATCAAAGATCCAAGCAAACGGAAGTTGGTGACCAGAAGGTACTGTCGCCTCAGTTCAGCTCAGCCTGCACCGAAGTGCAACTGAGTGCAAGTTCCATCTTCAATCAACTTCCATCAGCCAGTTCCTCTCACCACTGTTCCACCAGCACCACCACCTGTCATAAAGAGGAGGACAACAGCAGAGAAGGCAGAAGACTTGACCCTTGAAGGTGGTCATAGGGCCTGGTGGAAGGCCTAGGCCCAGGCCGTCACCGTCGTCCAGCGTGGGTGACTCATCACCGTCCATCAAACTTGTTTGGCCTCGGCGGTCAGTGTTTACGGACACAAAGTACTCTTTCTCTCTTCTCCTCTTCATTCTCCTCATTCTCCTCCTCTTCCTTCTCCTCAAGCACTCTCTTGCTTCTCTTTCTTGCACTGCAAAGGTATCCTCTCCTCACTCTCTCTACTGCGCAACGCGCGAGACCGAGTATCCACACAACGTTACACCAACGTTGCTTCAACGCAAGACACCAGCAGCCGCACGAGCCACCAGAGCTGCATTGCATTGCATTGTATTCACTCTCTGCCTGGCCACTGACTCAATCGTCTCGCAATCGCATCCACCGCCGAGCTTGGATCCACTGTGCAGGTGCAGCAGCAGCAGCGTTTCAACGTCATTGCAACGACCTTACGACTCTTACCCGAAACTACTACTGCTGCAACTATCAACTCATCAACGATGATGGACACTAACAACAATAATAGTACAGGAGTTGAAAGCGGTCTGTCGCCGCTCTCCCTCGACAGCGAGGACCTCTTTGACATTCGCAACTGTCCCACGCCGGACGTGTCAAAGTTGCACGACTTGAATGACTTCATCGGCAACTACGATCCGTTCGAGGACAGTACTAATGATGAAATCATGTCGCTGCTACAGAATGCCAAAGCGAACACTGCTGCAGCCGCCGCCAGTGGCGGTGGTGGTGACGTTTTGGTGCTGACCGACGCTGAACTAGCTGCGATCGCTGCCAGTGCATTTAACGACGACGACGACGATTGCAAGACGACCTCACTTTCTGCTGCTGCTGCTCTTCCTGCTCAGGATTCACCCTATGGTGCAATGATGATGATTGCCAACAACGGCGTCCCCATCGTCGGCAATCCGCTACTTCATCAGAGCTCTTCGAGCACGCTCCTCTCCAGTACCGCTTCGCCGTTTCAGGCAGCCAACAACAACAGCCACCACAACAGTCTCAACTATCTCAACAACAGCCACAGCAACAACAGCTTTGTGCCCATCAACGAAGTGATCATCAAGCGAGAGGAGGACAACCAGACACCGGTCCTCACCGCCTCCTTCCAGCACAACACCTCCGCACCACCCCAGATGCAGCTACTCAGTGCAGCAGCTAGCACCAGCAGAAATAAAAGCGGTGGTGGCCGCATGAAGGAGAAGTGCATGAGTCGAAATGCGATCCTCGCTCGGCAGAATCGCGAGAAGAAGAAGCAGGAGCAGGAGTCACAGGCCGAGAAGATGGAGAGCCTCGAGCTGGAGAACGCCGTCCTGAAGAAGAAGCTGCAGGAGTGCCAGACGGGCATGGAGGTCGCCCAGGACCGCGTCAAGTACCTCGAGGCGGTCATCCAAAATGTGCCGCAGATTCTCGACGTCATCGAGCACATGTCCCACATCAAGCCCAAACCGAAAGGAGGCGGCGGCGGTGGAGGCGGCACCAATTCAAATAATCACAATAGCAACCAAACTTAGTCCTTAGTCCTATTCCTTCTACCCAAATTCTAATCATATTACCGTTTTTCTCTTTCTCTTGTCTTTCCTGTCCCCGATCTTATTATCGTTCCCTCTTATTGTTTCCTATCTATTTCACATATTTTATAATTCCACGTTACTCCTTTTTCCATTTTTTTTCTCTTCCAATTCTCTATGTTTGTATACGGGTTCTCCACAATCTTCTCTTCCTTTTCTATATCCCACCTACTAAATTGACCAAATAAACGCAAACAAACTCTTTTTTAGCTAAACACACTGTTGAACAGCTTTGATTTATTTGGTACAGTACGACGACGGCCCAGAGGGTTCACACCCACAGGTGATAATAAAACTGACATGTAAATATATATCTGAGACTTGTAACATGGGGAGTAAGTAATAAGGGCACTNACAGGTGATAATAAAACTGACATGTAAATATATATCTGAGACTTGTAACAGGGGGGAGTAAGTAATAAGGGCACATTAGTTGGCTTTGCGGGCCTTCTCCAGCTTCTGCAGGTAGGTGCAGGTGATGACCATCTTCTGGCCGGCCCGTTCAAAGTGGGCAAATGCAGCCTGATGGGAGGAAAAGAAAAGAGAGAATGTAAACAAAGAGCACTTTTTTCTGTTTTCNTGCAGGTAGGTGCAGGTGATGACCATCTTCTGGCCGGCCCGTTCAAAGTGAGCAAATGCAGCCTGATGGGAGGAAAAGAGAGAGAATGTAAACAAAGAGAGCACTTTTTTCTGTTTCAGAACAACACTTACGTCAGCGAGCACCTGGCCGATGCCCTTGCCGCCGTACAGTTCCGGAACCTCGGTGTGGTAGAGCAGCACCTCGCTGTTGTTCAGCTGCTCGTAGTCAATGAAGGCGCTGTTGTCCGGATCCAGCTTGATCACGAACTTGTGGTTCTTCACGTCGTGCTCCACCACGTACTCGCCCTGGCCGGCAGTCAGTGTACGGCGGATGATGGTGGACGTCTGAGCGCGGGTTTGCGGCATGCCTAGAAGTGGTGGTGAAGTTGCGTTGTTAATGCTGTTGCTGAAGTGGACAGCGGAAGCCACCGGGTGAAAGGAGGTCCTAGTCAAGTTAGGTCCTCGCAAGGTCAACTGAGAGCAGAGAGTGCGGCGGAGAATGGTGGAAGCCATGGCGCTTCAAGCAGAGTGCTGGGCAAACTTGGGTACACTTGTTGTTGTTGTCGCCTGTCGTCCAACGATGGCTGTGAGCGGTGGTGGTGGTGATGGTGGGCAAATAGAAATCAGAGTGTCAGTGGGGATGATGATCAGGGCAAGCGAACAAGTGAAAGCAAGCAAGCAAACAAGCTAAGCAAATAAAAAGCAGCTATGTACAGCAGCAGCCAAATCAGCAGCTGACAAAGCAGCAGCAACAACAACTGCGGCGGCGGCGGCAGCAGGAGCAGTTATGTTGGAAGAAGTAATAAGAGTTAGTTACCGAGCCAACAAAGACGGCTGAAGATAGCTGAGGTAGCCATTTGGAATGAGAGACTTCTACTTCAGTCTTCAGGCTTCGAGTGCGTGCGACCTTCTTTGACGATAAAAGAGAGAGAGAGACAGGAGAAGAAGAGGAGAATGAAGAAGTGAACGCCGAAGTCACCACCACCACTTGCACGTGAACAGTCTTAGTACACACATGTGCAGATCATCAGACTGGCACAAACTTGTCCTTCTCACTTTCTCCTCCTTCTCCTCCTTCTTCTTCTGTCTTGGATGTTATTTACAGTTGTGGTGAATGGTGAGTGAAAAGCATCGACCGATGCGGATGAATTCAAAGCAGTGCTGATGATGAAGAGTAGATGTGATCAGTTAGCATGGCTGTGTGTCTAGGTCTGCAAAGTTGAGATGATGGAGTTCGGAAGTTTTGCCCCAAAAAGTTACTGGTTAGAATCTAGGGTCCAGAGAACCTGCCGATAGGAAAAACGTTATTCTGTTTGTGTTGAGCGAGCCTCCAAGAGAGGGCGCTACGTCCGCGTCGGCGAAAACGGAGGGAAAACGTTTTCTTCTCTCTCTCGTAAACAAACCAATCTTGCATCATCGGCGACAACTCATTTCTCTCGCAACTCTCGCTGACGCCTAACGATCCAAACGTCAATTTTCGAACCCGATTTCTTCTTTGCCCAACTTTGCCAACCTACTCCCACCCCCTGACCACCTCAATAATGGCCAAGGCTGTCAATCTGAACGAAGACCTGTGCAAGCACCTGGCCTCGATCGCCACCCACGAGAAAGAGATGAACCAGAACATGTCGCGCTTCTTCGCCTACATGAAGGCCTCCCGGGCCATTGCTGGGCACGACAAGCGAATCACCTCGGGAAAGGAGGCCCAGGAGCTGAAGGGTGTTGGCCCGAAGGTGGCCGTGATCGTGGACAAGTTTCTCAGTGGTGAGGCTGGTGATGGTGATGGCGATGAAAAGGCTGAAGAGGATGGTGATGGTAAGCCAGTTGCGTCATCGTCAAAGGACGGCAAGCGCAGCAAATCCAAGTCAAAGTCCAGGGATGCTGGTGGCCGCAAGCACAACAAGGACGACGACGACGAGGACAAGGACGCCGACGCTGATGGCCCACCGACCAAGAAGGCCAAAAAGAGCTCCACCGCCCTGACCACCACTGACTCGATGCGCATTCTCGACCACTACGAGAAGCTGTACATGGACAAGAAGACGGCCCTCGGCCTACAGGTGAAGGAGGTGAACACCGTGGGCGACCTTCGCCAGGACACCTCGCTGGTCACCGGCGCCCAGGCCGCCTGTCTGGAGGCCATCGCCGACCTGGTGGTGCCCATCGACGGCAAGGAGGAGGTGGAGGCGCTGGCCACGGAGCTGAAGAAGCGCATCAAGGAGGCGCTCGGCGATCACATCCGCCTCACCGTCTGCGGCGCCTACCGTCGCGGTGACGCGCTGGACAGCTCGCTGACTGTCCTCCTCGTCCACAAGGAGCTCAGCTCAACCTCGGAGAAGGCCAAGGAAGAGCTGNCGACCTGGTGGTGCCCATCGACGGCAAGGAGGAGGTGGAGGC